AGCAAGGGATTATTTAAAAATTATTGTTTATACGCTTGTCTCGTATAAAGTCGCATGCGCGCATAAACAGTCTCGACCACGGCGAGCGCGTATCCTGCCGATAAATCTGTAATATTTAATCTGCATCGTTTCCCTATCCTCGCACCGCGCAAATCCCATCCCCTTCACATCGCTCTCTTTGGCGCACACGCGCACGGGCACACGGACAGGACGACGGTCGCAAGAAGAGAAAGCGTGAGAGTGCAGCGGCGTCGCGAGCTATTCGCACAAGGCGGCCGTCCATCGACTACCGGTCGTGCTTATGCACTTTGAAACTTAAGTCTCGATTTACCTTGGGCGTCGCCGCATTAACACGTTAATGAAGCCACTCGTCGATAGTGCATTTTAACGTTACTCCGTTACCCCCCCCCCCCCCCCCCCCCCCCTTTAACCTTCCCCCGTTACCCCCCCCCCCATTACCCATCCCCACTCATCACTCACCACTCACCACTCACCACTCCCCCTCTCCATATCCCACCGTGTCGACTCCTCCACGTCCGATGACCGAGCAATGCAAACGCTCGGCTCCCAACGGGATTCTATTGAGCCATAATGAAGAAATGACAGGCGCGTTGGTGGTTAAGAAATGATGAAATCCGTAACCCGTACTTACGCTTCACGTGCAATTTACCGCCGACGCTGGGGGTATTATCGTGTCTCTTATTTCTCATATCTTCTCTACTCTTTTAAGCCTCCTTTAAGCGGTATACTTTATGATGACCTTATAGCGTCGATTATTTAACAATTTTTGTTTGCTGGTTGTCATGTGAAATTTTGCCCAATATATATCTATTGTACGATTAAATCGACGATTTATTGTCCTTGGCACTTATGCAAATGCTTGCATTCTTTATTCAATCAGTTGTAATCAATGAATTGTGAAGAAATGATTATATTATAATTATTGTTTATGGTATGGGAAATTTTTTTTTTTTTTTTTTTTTTTAGATAGTTAAACGGGCTACGAGTTATGTATTATTCAATAGGAAATAATATGCAATGTCTTTTATATTTTTCTTTGAGAAATGAATGCGCGTTGTGTTGGATGGAAAAATGTAGTTATCGGAAAATTTCTATTACCTCAAAGTGAAATAAACATATTATGGACGAAAGAACTGTATTAAAATGAATTTCAGAAATTAAGTTAAAACTCTTAGGAATCGAATTTAAAATAGTGTCATGTGTTATTCCTCGTAAATAAGATATTTGTTCTTCGGCTGTAGAGTGCACCAACCCCAAAAATAAATAATGTGATAAAAATAAATATAAACGATTGTGTAATCGAGGCTGTGATAATCATATTGGTAGTCAGCACGCGTCTATGAACAAACAAAATTGACATTATTTTTTACAAGGAATGAGAAATCGTTTCATAAAAAAATCGATGAGACTCTAATAGTAGTTCGTACGATCGATGTTTTTTCTTCTTCTTCGCATAATTAATAAGCTTTCTTTATCATCACTTAGTAATTTGCAAATCACTGACACTATAAGTCAAGTGATTAATTATTTAAATGAACATTTGATACATATGTTTGAGTTTTTCATTTATTACGATGCGCTTACCACAATTTTTCTTGCAATATTGCTCGATGATTATACTTTTAGTGTAAAATAATATAGTATAACGAGTGCTCGAGTCATTATTATGAAAGAATTTTTAAATCATTCGTACAATAAAAACTAACAAGTATAATAATTAAGCGAATATTCCCTACGATTAATACACACAGACTGCGATACGTCAATCCAGTATTGATAAATCCATAACAGTTGATGTATTTTCATATTTATTCCTATAAAATTTTAGTAAATTACTAATAATGAATAATGAATGTTTATAAGTTATTTTAACTTTAATTGGCTGAAACTGGTATGAACGTGATTAAGGTATTCCAATAAATTATCGAAATTCATTTCTGTCGATTTATATTAATTAAAAAAATTTCGAACTGTTCAATGTTTTTTTTTTTTTTTTTTTTTTTTTTTTTAATATTTTTGCCTCTAATTATAGGATTTCATTTAGCATTTAGCAACTATGCAAACTGCAAATAAAATTGTTGTGCAAAAACTTGTTTGTTCCAATGAAATTCTAAGTATAGGCTTAAAGAATCTTTAAAACGTTTTACTACATTTTAATTCAATTATTTTTTAAAGTCAATATGCAAATAATTTATATCCATTTGACCGTAATATCAATTTTAGTTTCACTTAATTTCAAATTGTATATTTAAACGTTATCACATCAGAAGATAAACTTTTTATTTAATACTTAAGAAAAAGTAATTGACATAATTCCAATTTTTATATTTACTTTATCTTAAAATAACGATTTTATTGTAATAGAAACTATTCTAATGGGCATTTAAGCCTTTATTTATAATTTATTTATACTTTCAATGTTGGTATATATGAATTAAAAATGATCAAACTCGTGTGTTTTGTTTAAATGGGAAGAAGGTGCACGTATGATGGGTACGTCGTCTTCTTGTATTTCGTTTATCATGTTTGAATTGAAAATATTAAATCATTATTTTTAAACAAAAATTTCCCGTTTTAGTTTATAAAAGACTTTGAGCGATATTTGTTGTAATGAAAAAGAAAAAATTTGACAAACTCCTATTAAATTCTAAGTTTATAATAATCAAGTTTCATATATATTTGCATTTTTCTTGCTAAAAGTTCAAAGCGTTTAAAATACTCTACACGCAATCGTTGCTTTGATTAAAAAAAAAAAAAAAAAACTCTTATCGTAAAAATAGATTAATAGGTACGTTTCATCGACCTACGATCCGCATATAAATAAATATGTATTATTTTATGCAAACGAGGTTTTTCAACGACCCCGTCATAATCCTCGACTACATTTACATAATTAATAGTCACATTTACATAATTAATATAATGTGATTGAAGCTAGAATAATATAATCCTATCTTGTTTAACTAATTAATTATTTACATAAATTTTGCGAAAGTAATGATTCGGTTAAATTAATTATTCATGTTGCGAAACGATTAAAAATTTTATTTCCTCCACTTCCTTTGAAGCCGGTTGTTTTATATAAAAAAAAAAAAAAAAAAATTTCCAAACTGAATATGATTAAATAGATTATGCGTAATGCTGTATGATGCTATAACGTATCATTAATATAACTTAATTGTAAAAATTGATTTTATAATGATTTACGGATGAATGTGCTTTTCAAGTTATCTGGCTGGCAACGCGGATAGTCCGTACTTTTTAATAGACGTAACAAATATTTGAAAGAAAAAAACTGGGTCATCGCTTTTGATTTATGATTTTGTAAAAGAACAAACGAGTCTTGGGAAGCTTATCCTTTCCAATGTCACTTAATCATTTTGTACAATTAGTATTTTACAGAAATACGCGGTATTGCTCGCCGGCTGCTTTAATTTAAAAATTATAGAATAATGTGATTCGAAACTTCATAATACAAGGACATCGGTTTCTTTAATCCTTCTTCTCATACCTCGATAAGATACTCAAAAGAGCGACAATTCATATTCTTCTCTATTTAAACTTTCACTTTAAACTCCTAACGTTCATTACAACAAACATAAATCCCCAATCTTTAATTGTGCTTCCTTCGGCTAATAGTGTGCGTGTGCTTGCTCGCGTGCGCGCGTGTGAATAAATAGAGGCCTATAAATAAATTTTGAACGTAGATGATGCTTCTTTGAGGTGCTATAACAAATTAGTCAGCTATGTCTAATCTTCGGCAACTTCGTTCGTAGCCTTTGCACATTACGTACAAAGTACGCTCTCGGTAGGCCCATATTTACGCTTCAATTACATTACCATCCCTCGTATTAGGGCGAATAATTATGGGAGCTACTGCTTATGGCAAAACCACAGTAAGGAATTTACAAAGTGCACTCGTCATATTGAATTTGAGGCCAGTTTCTCTCTTTCCCGGGCACGTATACATTCCATGTATTTCTGTATCAACCATTCACGGTAGAAACGTCATTATATCGTAATGACGAGGGCGCAACAATTTTGTGAAACGAGTCCAAATCCGCGCCTCCTTAGTCGTCGTCGAGAAACGTCGTCAAGAAACGTTACCATGACTCACCATTAGAACAAAGTGAAAAAGCGGCGGCGTTCGATTTTTTTCCAAAAATTTCGACAGGAGCAGTTATTGGGGGGGGGGGGTGCCCTCGATCTTTCAATTTACGTTTCAACGTGAAAAAACCATATTTAAGCAGCAAGTTATTCGGCTCTTTGCCACTGTACAGCAATGATAGTCTACAGATTGCACGTTATCAGTGATTTGTACGGAATAGATTTGTAAGCTGTCGGTGGAAATTGATTTTCTCAAATATTGTCGAAGGTAAGGGCTGTACGTTCTTTCGACAATACACATTCGGCGATTAGATTTGCCGAAAAATAAGCTTATTTATTTAATTCATCGCTCTCCATCTCGATCTGAATTAAAACAGTAAATCTATATGTATTGTGGCCCTATTCGACTCTATTTTTAAATCAAATGGTGGTCCATTAATCGAGAAAAGTCGAAAAAAAAAAAAAAAAAGAAAAAAAAGCACGATAATAATCTGAATAGTAGAATACATTGAATTTGATTTAAATAATCGTTGCAATAGTTAAAATCTCTATTTCATTGAATATATCATAAATTGCCATTGCATAGTGTTAAAGTGTATCATTACAATATGTTCTAACTGGTCGGCTAACACAGAATTGAGTTTCATTTAAAACTAGTACATATATATTAAAAATATTTTGTCCATCATGCCCAATGTGCGTTAACTGTTGTGATTTTGCATATACATGTAAATGTTTTGTTTTACCTTTTTCCTTTTTTTTTTTTTTTTTTTTTTCTTTTTAAATTAAATCGTATTTATAAAGGATCAATGAATTTGTCATCGTTCTATGGCAATAATATTGTAATAACTTAAAATTAATAATGCTTACAGTTCAACTTCGTGGGAAGGATTTTAGGACCACGCGGAATGACGGCTAAACAATTGGAGCAGGAAACTGGATGCAAAATCATGGTTCGTGGCAAAGGATCGATGAGGGACAAGAAGAAGGTAAATTTACTACTAAATTATTTTACGCTTATTACGATTAACTTGCAACGATAAAGCAATAAGAATTCTGACTGAGAAATAACTAATAATTTTCGACCGTATTTACGTTTAAGCAGTTTTGCCCTCTTACTTGTTTCCCATGCTCATCCCGAAATGGCGAATCTATGCTTTTCCACGTGGATACATTTTGTCAGAATTATGAATGTTTAATTATGAACATACAACTTTGTCAGAATTTTGAGCGATCGATGCATATTATTTGACAATCGAGGCTGCGCCTCGCTATTGAAAAGCGAAGGATTTTCGTAGAAAATCGGCAACGGCATCCACTTCAATGTCGAAGAGCTGATTTCAATTACAGTATTATCCGTCGGTATTATACGCTTAAAAGGCCTAGCGCACAGCTATGATAAGGAGCCAACAATTAGAGAAATTGGGTTGGTCCAATTGAGACGGCGCGTGGGCATTTTCTCTTAACGCATCGCGGCTATGAAATTTCTTGAACCGTGGCCAGAATCTATTCTGCATTCAGCGGCGCGGGAGCGACCTTTTTTTTTTCTTTTTTTTTTTTTTTTCATCTTTTTGTTGGCCGGACAATGAGTAGTGGTAGATGTGGTAGTAGTGGTAGTAGTGTTAGTAGTGTTAGTAGTGGTAATGGTCGTGGTTGGGAGGGATGGGGATAGGTATTATATCACAAATCGGATACATCGGAGGAAAATGTGCCACGGGATGTAGCGAGAGCATCGGCTGGGTGTTTCGGCGTCCTCTCCTCGCTCCCTCGAGCAAATTGTCCGTGAAATGGAGCCGCCGCGCGACTCTCGCTGGGCTAATGAGAGCACGAGAAATTTAGTTTCGTTCCTGTGATTGCGCTCGCTCTTGCGATGACTTTGTGCGGCCACTTGTGTGGCTCCCCTCCTGATTGCACGTTATTGACAATGACGTTGTGCAATTTTTGAGGAAGCGGTGGGATCCTGACGGCAACTCGAGCCCACGTCATTCTTAAATGGTTGTTTGGGGGGCGCGGCTACGAAGCAACTTGACTCTTTATTATCTCGGTTTATTATTTACTTGAATTTTTCAGCTTTTGTTCTTTGATGTGCCGTTTGCTGGCTAACAAGCTTCAAATATCTTTTAACGTTTTTAAAGTTGCTGCAGTTAGCGTCAGCCAAGTTCCTTTTATTTTCGGCTGTCGCAATGATTTCGATCGAAGGCACATGGTTTTTTTTGATCTTCAGCTCGCAGAATTTTTATCGTGCGTCCCTTAATTTATTAGCTAACTTTATATGTTTAATGCCATATTAATTTTTAATTTTTTATTGAGTTATCGAGAGAGTAGAGAGAGAGAGAGAGAGAGAGAGAGAGAGAGAGAGTGTGTGTGTGTGTGTGTGTGTGTGTGTGAGAGAGAGAGAGAGAGAGAGTAGCAATTTATTAACTAATGAAAGTCACGGTGAACGAGTCGATTATGGCACCTCGATTGGCCAATAATGAGTCCCATCGTTTCAACAACAACGAAGCATAAAATCTTCGATTTTAGGCCAATCGTGATGAAGTAAATTCTTATTATCTTATAATCTTCTTTTATTTGACAACTATTAAAAGGAAATCCTGGCCTGTACGCTTATAGCAAGAATACGATTCTCAATAAAAGACTTTAAGAACGTATTTCATTGAAAATGAACGTCGTTTAAATTTAAATATCTTCAATCACAGGCATCTTGGCTTTTTGAATGTAAATTAAAACTTATTATGGCTAATAATTTGATTATTGAGGGGAGGGAGAATAAAACACTGTGCTGATATATTCGGACAAAGTATGAAAAACGTGCTTTCATGGGATCGTTGAAATAGTTTTTATTTACCCCTGAGAATCATTGACTCTGTTCTAAGTCTAATAATTCCATTCGCAAGAATAATTTCATCTCATCGGCTGTAGGATCGTGTGAATCCAATTCCGTGTACTTAGTCGAGGAAATAATCGAGGTTCCGTTCCAAGGCTTCAGCTGTACATGTACATTTTACTTCGCCACTCCGTGAAATGGAATACGCGAGAGCATGTCCAGTTGTTGCAAAATGTTGCGCGATACATAACCGCAACCGCGCTAATGCGCAAGTGCATAGCGAGTGTACAAACCTGAGAATACTTCTTGGTTTAGTGTTTAAGATAAAAAGGAACCGGAACAGCTATGTGTCAAGACTTTTCTTCCATTATCTTTTGGCTGCTCTGTCATAGGTTTTTAGAGCGAGGGAAAGCTTTGACTAGGGAGTAGGTAATTGTTTCTTGGCAAATCGTTTTATAGTGAAAAAATGATAAATCGATTCGACTATAAGGGCCTAATGGGCTCAAAGTATATCTTACGAGAATTACGAAACTTACGATATTTCGAAGAAAAAAAACCAAAAAGAATGAAAAAAAAAAATTTCCAACATTTATGTTTTATTTCAATTTTTTTTTTTTTTTTTTTTTTTTTTTTTTTTTGGTGGGGTGGGGACATAATTGGGAATTGAGATCGTGCGTAGGTTGAGGAAAGTCTTCCATGCTCTAGTTTAGTATTTCAAATTAAACGATAAATATTCTATATAACTTCAATTGCACATATCCTATCTAAATCTTTGATTAAGTAAGAAACCTCTTCTTCCAATTTAATGACGCGACTCCTTCATTCAATCTGATATATCATTTAGAATTTCATATGTATGTATATACATATGTATATACATATTTTTACCGAAAATGGCATTACTTTATTTTTAGTAATTTAACTTAATAATATATGGATACGTAAATTTAAAAAGGTTCTGCATTAGATATTAGATTCGTCGCGTACTAGGATAATTATGATATGACAAAGCCTGGCATCGAGCGCTACATGGACCATCCTGTAAGCGAACCATAAGGGTACGTTGGAATTCCGTTGTCGACTTATCGATTATCATTCGACAAAATTACGTTGATAATCATAGTCTCGCGTCTGCTTGTGATCTATCCTCCGAAGCGATGAAAGTCGAGAAGCCACGCTATGATGGCGTTCGCAGCCAAACCACCGTGGACGTGGATCATCAACAAGGACGAATAGAGTTCCGCGCGCATGAGTCGCGGCCCGCATGGCAGGTCAAACGTACGCCGTATGGGGCGATGACGTAAGAGCATCTGGGACCGCGCTAAGTGTCGAGTCTCCGGGCCGTTTCATCGACCGAGTATCAAGCCAAGGCACCCGTGCTTTTTGCAACGATATCCGCGAGTCGGGCTCGTTCGTGAGAGTGAGCTCGAGGATTCGCAAACTGCTGCGGTAATATGATGCTCTTCCCATCCCATTACACTTTCTGCCCGCAGAAGCTAAATTATTATTTAGACGGGAAAGTTTCTCGTATTCGCGCGCAGTATTCAATGGCGGACAATTTTATTTTTCTTTTTAATCGCTGAAATCGATCGACTCTCCGCGTGCTGCTTTATGCTCCTTTCTCTTCCTATGTAATAACGATTGACTTCTCAATTTGTAAAAGCATTCCAGATAACGGCGTCCTTACAAAGTGTCATTATATTCTGGCTGGAAGATAAGCGCACTCGATAACTTTCTCACTTACATGAATTCCCTCGTAATAAAGCGAAATAAAGAGGCCGTAAGATCGCCAATTTTACCAGCCGAAGTAGTAATGGCCCGATGACTTTGACAATATCGCTTAAACTTAATAAAATTAAAAATAATAATAATTACGTCTAAACACGTATGACAAAATATATTACAATTGAATTTTATCAATAAATTCAGCTACAAACTGCACAAACACAAATAAGAGGTAAATACATTAAAAAAACAAAAAAAAAAAAAAAAAAAAAAAAAACGAAGCATCGGCGTCATCTTGAAAATACAGAAGGCCAAACGGCAGCGATCGAATCCACTTCAAAAGTTTCGTGGCATCGCGTTTCTTTAACCGCCAACACGTGTCGCACATTTCGCATAATCACGGAGCGTTGGGCGCGAAAAAGGGGCTCCTTGTTCGCCGTCGAGGGGGATCCTCAAAGATACGAGAGCAAGAGCAATTATCGCTCGGGGCACGCGGATGTTGCTGCTGCACGAGCATGCCATTACGTCTCTTAAACGTCGCTTTCCTCAACTTGCTGCGAGCGAGTTAAAGCGAGTCCGTATAGGATGAGATTGGTCGGGGTAGGGGAGGGGCATGGGGTTACGAGGCGAGGAGGTGCCGTTAAATTAACTGCCATTATGCTCTGGCTGCGATATCGTTTGCGAATGCCTTGCATTCAGGAATGCAACGTTTGACGACTCCAGATGCGCGAGTATTCTGATTTATGCTTGATCCTTCCTTTTTACGTACTTGCGCCGATAAGGTGGAAGGAAGATCTTTTTCTTACGGTGACGCGGGCACTTGAGCATGCGCATCTTGCGAGTAGCTTACGAGTCGTACGATTGGCATAGATTATTATAGAAAAAATGAATTTCCGTTTCTAAATTACAGCAGCTAATTCTCGCTTCCTCTGCGAGCTCATTTTCCAATCGAAATGAAAAAAAGAAAAACAAATTCCAGTCCATAACATCGTTATTACGCCATGACTTATGTTTTGCATTCCAATAGAATAATAATCGTCTGTATTCGGTTTATCCGCGATTACGTCATTTAATTTTCCTTTTATTCGGCAAGGAATTTCTTTAATTATTCTCTGATCAATCGCCACGCTGTTTTAATCTTGGCTTTTTAATCTTTCGTTTGGACGAGAAATAATGAAAAATTTAGCTGGAAGCATTATGTATTATTACAATGTGATTGAACAAACATCATCTGCCATTGCTTGTAAATATTAATTTGGCCATAATAATATCTTTATGAAGAAATAAAACGTTATTTTATTTATTATGCTTTCGGTTATAAAATAAAACTTTAGGCTTCAACTACGTTAAATGCATTTTTAATTTTAAAGCCAACGTATAGCTATTATGAAACCGAAATTGTTTATGAAATTACAATTGTATGCGTAAATTGATAATAATGTTTCGAGAAACGTTGGAAAATAATCTTGCCCAATGTTTTTCAAGCTACACTCGACGTGCTCACGAACGCATCAGGAACGTAAGTACATTGTTTTGTTCTTCTGGACTTTTTTCCACGTAAAATATTAGCTAAAGCACGTCTTCCGACACACATACACACACGCGCGCGCACACGTACATGGATATTTTTTATTTTTAAATATTAGCTTAAGGATAAATGTAGGCAGCACTGTGTATGAATACGTATCCATTTTTTTTTTTTTTTTTTTTTTTTTTTTTTTTTTTTATATACCTCTTATTTGTGTTTGTGCAGTTTGTAGCTGAATTTATTGATAAAATTCAATTGTAATATATTTTGTCATACGTGTTTAGACGTAATTATTATTATTTTTAATTTTATTAAGTTTTGTATGATATTTTCTTCTTGATATAGCAATAAACATTTGACAATTTGAAAAACACCAAGTCAACTGCTTTTTCTTACCAGTTTCTTCACTTTATAGCGCTGAAAAACTTATTTTGTATTTGACATTCTTACATGATTTTCTTTAAATCTTGAATTCACGTACATTAAAATTCTTAAATTTTTGTTTCAACACTCTAAAAGTACATAATCGTTTATGCTTTTAACGTAATTTTTTCTTTCTTCTTTTGTTGTTGCTATTGTTGTATCTATTTCTATTTTAAATGACTTGGTCGTAATGTATGTAATAATTAAGTGTTGAAATCAGTCAACCACACTTTAAAGCATCCGTTGTGCCTGATAATTCCAAAATACAAACTCTCACTTGTAACCAATTGACATTTAAGAGCTGTCTTCCTAGTTTCCTCCATTCAATTGTCCAGCTAAACAACGGCAAATATCTTGGAAAAACTCCCATTAAGGAAGATTAAATTTCTAGTAAACGACAAAAGCCATTAGTAGCCAAACGTTAACAACTACTTGCACAAATTTCCTTAAGAAGAGATTTTTCTCGATAACGTACGTCACGAAATGTCAGTGCGTGAAAGAGTAGCGCTCTAACGATAAGCGCACGTGAACGCAAACGAATGCATGTAAATCCTTTGGTAATGCAACTAAAAGTTATTTTTCCTCTCACGCAGGAGGAGCAAAACCGTGGCAAGCCAAACTGGGAGCACCTGACTGACGAGCTACACGTCCTGCTGACTGTGGAGGACACGGAGAATCGGGCCACACTCAAGCTCGCCCGCGCCGTTGAGGAAGTTAAAAAGCTCCTCGTGCCCGTGGTGAGAAAGTTCCAGTTACTCGTAACCTCGCGACTCCCACCACACCCAACCCGCCCTTACACCATCCTTCCATTTTCTCATATTTACTTCTTCTCCTCCTCCTCCTCCTCCTCCTCCTCCTCCTCCTCCTCCTCCTCCTCCTCCTCCTCCTCCTCCTCCTCCTCCTCCTCCTCCTCCTCCTCCTCCTCCTCCTCCTCCTCCTTCTCATCCTTCATCTCCTCCTCCTCCTCCTTCTCATCCTTCTTATTCTCCTCCTCCTCCTCCTCCTCCTCCTCCTTCTCATCCTCTTTCTACTTTTCGTTCTCTTTCCAGGATTTTTTCGCGGTCAAAGTAATGATTGGACGAGCCGGCTCGTAGCGAATCGTCGTCCTTCGTTGTAACCATTTGGTAACGCCATTTTTCTCAATGTTTCATCGTCCCGATGCTCGAAGGGCCCGTGCATATTTAGAAACTGCATCGGTCTTTTTTAGATCCCAAATTATGGACAAAATATTTGCTACATTGCGATGAGAGCACATCACCGTGGATACATTACTTCCCATCTCGCGCATTAACCACACACGATAATTCAAAAATAATTTACGCTCTTTTTTTTTTGTCTTTCACGCTCTCGGCGAATTCCAATTTGTCCAGTTGATTAACGTGCTCACGCTCTCCAAATGAATTTGTCCACTAATAAAACGAGGCATTTCCATTCGTTAAAGACAAGCGATTACATCGACTTTAAAGATTGCCGAATCGTCCTTAGCTTCCTTAGCCAAGGAATAGGTAAGGCGATCGGATGATCTCTACATACGGCCAACGCTAATAGCGCCAGCGACATTAATCGTCGACACGCTCGACCCTAACACCGTCACCCGCTAATGTTTTCTACTTGGGTCGGTGCTACCTTAGTAGACAGTCGAATTGCTAACTTAGACTTCCGTCACCTGGACGCGCACCGAATGCTAGGCGCCGGTAATCGGATCTAGGCAGGCGCGTCGCGGCCCGTAAAAAGCGCGCGACATCGATCACGAGCCCCCGCGGCCATTGTCCGCCAATGCCCCTCGTTCTCACGCCTATTATATTAATACAACGAGCGATAATTCGGGTCGCGTAAATCAGGCCGGGAGAATCGGCTTTATACGGAGCACCTGCCTGCATACTGCATACTGTATCCTCCCCCACCTCCACCCCGCTATCGGGGTTTCGGGAACGAGAGCGAGTTTAAATGCGTCACACGCCCACGCAACCGGGGCCTCGGCTCGCATTCGTAGCGATTCCGCGACGATTAAGGATGCGGCATCAATTTTCGCTATTTTTATTTGAGCCTCTATTCCAGGTGACCGTTCTCCTCCTCTCACGAGTCTCGGCTTTTTTTTTCTCTCAGATCGGCATCGTTCCGTCGGCCACGTGCACGTTTCCGAATGCTCGACTATTTGGATACACGGAGAAAAGAGGATCGAGAGCGTCG